CACGAGAACGCCCATTTGTGGCTGAAGTTGGATGATATTGGAAATATTCACAGACAGTATGCAGAGAAAATCTGCAGCCAAACAGCATTTGGCTAAATCTGATTGGATGAACTGAAAGAGTAAACGCCCATAACTGATTAGAAAGAAGTCTTTCCAATTGTCCATGTTATTATTATTATTTAAAATATCTCTATATATATTTATATATATATATATACATATAAAGGGATCCATAAAGTATTTCTGATACATATACGGTACATATATATTTTAAAATAATAGAAGGTAGCGAAGATGTTAGATGTTATTTCTTTTTTTTTTACTCTGTCTCAGTTTCAGTTATGGAGAAAAGGCTGTACTCTGCTGAACATTCTACTTGTGCTGAATGTTTGGACCTCCTGGCAATGGGGGTGGGGGTTGCTATTATATAAGAAATATAGAAGGAGAAATGTTGCACTAATTTTACATGTATAATCTGCATATGCCCTTCAATAAACATATACTGGAAAAAATGTGTTGCATGAACTGTCACTGTAAGCAGTCCTTTTATTGGTCTGTGGTTGCTTGATTGGACACACCTGTGCAGGTGACTGACAGTGCCACACCTTATTTTAACCTGAGGAGGGAAACAATCCATTACAAAATGTTTAAAGTTGCCTATGTGTTCAGCTCATTTGATTATTATATTTAATTAGCTCATCCTGTGATTAAATTGAGAATATGACAGAAGGTCTATTAGCGCTTTAATGTGGGCGGGTTGTGTGAAAGTGACGTCAGTGTGGCTGGTCGCTGACGGTGTAGGAGGGACCACAGACCGAACTGATCCCACGTGTGACGGAGCGCTGCATCCCCGGCTCGCTGACACTGTAGCTCCGCTCCGTCTGCCGACCTGCAGCCTGTGTGTGTCCGTCAGTCACTGCCTGTAGCTGGGTCAGATATGGAAGGAGACGGGAGCCAAGCCACGTCTGCTGGAAGCCCGACTGATCCGCAACACGACCCAGGGTAAGGTTACTGTTTGTCAGTTTAAAAACGGCATCATTTGTTGTTTTTAAAACTGCATATTTGCAGCTTGAATTTCACACTGCCAGTCCCACTGCCTTCCGGGTCCGGTCAGCTACACCTTTGTTTGGTTATATTATTAAACGGGCCTGCCCCCTTTGCAGTGTAAACGCCTGGCTGGTCCCGATATGTGCCGTTATTGTACGTATTGAAAGAACGTACGCCAAACTTCCTTTGGATTTCTGCGAGTTAAATGCTGCTATACTCGCTGGCAAAAGTACACAGTTTTAAGAGGAGTTATTAATACTTTTTGCAAATGTACAATTTGCTCTGGTAAAATCGGCATTTTGTTTCCTCAGCTTGACTGCATTTTATTTATATAAAACACAAAAAATGCATTTGGTTCTCACTGCTCCTTACCGCCCACTACGCTGTGTTTTGATGGAGGCAGGTGAAGATTACCTAACAGCCGGACCAGATGTAAAAGTTGATTAAGCTGTTATTAGTACAGCATGGTTTATTAAATATATGCCGAATTAAAGACTGTGTTAATACCAACAGCAGAAAAGCTGCAGTTTCGTTCTACCAGGTGTGTACCTCTATCAAGAGGCCGGCAGATTTAAACTGCCTGATGTTTTGAATGGAAGTTGGCCCGAGCCTTGGTCCACAGCTGAGAGCAGGCGACGTAACCGGGCTGCTGCTGCTTCCTCGGCTTTAAGGACGGCTGTCTGGCTGTCTGGCTGCTTCGCCGTTTTATTGCCTCTGTTTTTGTCCGCAGCTTTTTTACTTCTCTCCAGCAAGTAAACTAGTTAGCTTAACATCAAAATGGCCGATGTGAAATCCGGACTGACTTCTGTTACATTTTTCCTTGGCAGGAAAATGTTTATTGGTGGCCTCAGCTGGCAAACTTCACCAGGTAAGAAGTGTGTGTGTGTGTGTGGCAAGGTTATTTTGATTTCAAGTCCTCCATTCGACCCCTGTGTAACAGACAATATATCCATCTTTTTATTTAAGGAAGAAATGAAGAGAAAAGTGTAACCCCTCTGTCTCTGTTCTTCCACAGACAGCCTTAGAGATTATTTTAGTAAATTCGGGGAAATCAGAGAATGTATGGTGATGAGAGACCCAACGACAAAACGCTCCAGGTAAATAAAATATTCCTACCCTTATTCTGGAATATGAGCTTGTTCTGCTTTGTGGAGTGATAACACCATGCAGCCATTAAAGTGCATTTCCTATTGAATGGGAGGGTAATGCAGTTTGACACTGGCCATGGAGCTGTGTAAAATTCTCATTCATTCTGTTGTAATGGATTTTGAAAGTGAAAACTAATTTAAATGTCATTCCAGATTAATGCATTGTACTGAATTGTAGTTAGTATAGAGATAATATTAATTTACACATTGCTCTTGAAATAATATGATTGATATAAATGAGAGAAATTGTCAAATATATGTGGACACAAACGGGAAAGAGAAATGTATAAAAATATAACTTAGGCTGGTGTAATCAGTGTGTGGATTACAACATGTATCAGACGTGTAGTAAAGTAGCTCATTGTAATGTGGAAAATTAAAATAATATATTATTATAATGTTATATTTTGTTTTTTTCTCAACAGGGGCTTTGGCTTCATCACTTTTGCAGATGCTGCCAGTGTAGATAAAGTCTTAGCACAGCCGCACCACGAGCTGGACTCTAAAATGGTATGTTCACAATGTCGTTCTGACGTGTTTTATTCTATTTGTGACCAGTCTTTTCTGTTGTGTTATATTCATAAACTGATGGTAGCGGAGCTTGTTCAGTCACTGGGAAAAACACAGCCACTCATTTGTGTTTTAATACAGGGATTGCGATTCAGTATATTGAAATGTATTGCGATACAGTTCAGGAGGCAATATATTGAGTTTTTTTTAACTAATATAATTTTAGGAGAACTTTGATTGCATAAAGAACACACCATGTGCATAGCATCTAAGTAAAAAAAAAAAAGTTACTTGCAATCAGTGGGATCTGCATTTGTAGTTATCACAATCCCTGTAACATCCTACATCACAGCCCTTAGTTTACATTTACAACACTGCTGTCGAGGGGTTGGGAGTTAAAACACACAAATCAATACAGTGTATTTGAGAATTGATAAAATATCACAAGAAATAACGTGATGCTCACGTTTATTGATATTTTCTTACACCCTGAGACAACAATATGAAGACTATTGAATCTGTCTCTGTGTGATCGGCCCCTTGTGTGAAGCCTTCCCACTACCCTCTGAGTCAAGTCATGTAAATTGTACTTCTATAGTCCAAAATCACAAATTTGCCTCAGAAGTTAGGATCCGCTATTCAGCATTTTTCCGATTATCAGAATCTGTATTTTTTTGTTTCCAATGATGGAAAAAATAAATTAATTTAAATGTGCTGTCTTGGCACTGATGCAGCCAAGGTCAAGGTCCCGCCCACAGCACTATCTGGTTGGTTACACATCGCAAGGTTATACACTGGTAAAGGTTTAGCTCATTTTGATTACTTTATGCTGCTTGCTAGCTTAATCTATTGGTTCCCAACGTTTTTCCTTTTCTATAATTTATTAAACTAACGACCCCGGACTAAGTGACATATTTTATGAATATTCCATATCATATTCAAAACTGTACAATGAACCCAAGAAGTTTGTGGAAAACGAGTGATTTAGGGAACTTTTTATACTTTTGTATTATGTATTTTTTAAAGAATTTTTCGTACAGACTTATTAGGCTTATTTTTTGACAGATTCAATGTTTTCTCATCCCTGAACAATGGCCTGGTGCATTGTTTTTTTAGGCAATTTACTTAACAATTTAGTTTACAGTAGATACAGGCCTACTGAGTATATTTTTTTTTAACTTTTCTAGCATGCCTTAAAATCAAGACCCCCAGGTTGTGAACTTGGGTAATGTGTACTTGGATATATTCCAGCACTTTATAAGATTTGATTTTATACTGCAAATGTATATCGGTTCCTAATGTCAGTTATTGTTTTCCTTGATAGCTAATAATCGGTATCTGTATCGGCCCTGAAAAAAACATCTCAGTGGACACCTTCACACAGGGCTCAACAACATTACATTCATGAACAACATCCGACACGGCCTAGACCCTGATCCAGATAAGGAGGCTCCCTCTGTCAGACATAACGTGTTGTATGTACAGTTACAGATGAAGGCGATCCTCACCGTTACAGGCAAATAATATAAATGAGGCTAATATTTCTCATTTGATTCCATGTGCTTGTTATGTGTGTCAAACACTGTTTTAATGAATTTTGAATCCAGTGAGAGCTCTTTCTGTGATGGAGGGTTTTAATACGTTGTTTTCTTCTTTACTCGTGCACAGGGAAGTGACGTTATTATAGCCACATGCTTTCCCTCATCCCGGTCACATTTTGTGAAACAGGGAGACAGAACAGTGAGGTGTGATAGCTGTTTTTCCTCCACATAGATCATTTTTAGTGGAACATGGAGGGACTGAGGTAATTTGTGTGTGTGCAGGGCTGGTTGAACAAAGTAGGTCAGTCTGGATGACTGTTGAGAAAGCCTTTGACAGTTGATTTACTGAGGCAGTAACACAGGTATTGAAATAAGCAAAGTGATGGGGGCTGGAGCTGTAGTTGGGCTTTGTCATGGTTAAGGTGGAGAAATGAAGGGAAGTGTGACAGTGGGGCAGTTGATAGCAGTGACTAACTGGGCCAGAAACAATCTGATACACAGTGAGCTTCAGTCTGATGTGACACTTTCAGTACAGCTGTCTATCTGACATTTATTCACTGCATATATTTTTATTTGTTTATTACAGAATCACAACCCTGATTTGAAGTGAGAGCCTAGAGCCGAAGGCTCTGTCCTAGGTTTCTGCCTGTTTAAAGGCAGTTTTTCCTTGCCCTTG